TGCTTGCCACGCTTCTAAGAATTGAAATTCCTATAAGGAGATTTACTGACCATCCCACGTGCCGCTTTCCGTCATTAGGTTGCTGAAGGTCTGCTCGTGCTGTAACCGAACCTTCCGTCTCTCGGAAGCCAGGCTGTGCTCTGCGTGATCTTGCTCAGTCAGGAGCACGACTGGCTTTAATCGGACCTACAGAGAGAAAGGCACACATCTCTCAGGGCTTAAATCAGAACGTGGATTTTACAAAAGCAAAATTAAAGGTGCCACCTTCTCCCCAACCCAAAGTATGCAGAATATTTATAAGTCTTTCCCACACATATTATTTTGACTAAATTTTTGCCTTATTTTTAAACTAGAAAAAACAATATGGGGTTGATAGTTAAAATGCTGTGCTGCTTCTTCGTACAATAAGGTAGTTGCTTATTGTATATTAATTCTCTCTGATTTTTAAATGTTCTAATGGAATCACAAAATAAATTCTGCATATGAATGTGGGAGACGAGATAATGTGGTGAATTTCTCTTCAGAAATGTTTTCTACCTTTTGTAAAGCTAGTTTATCAAACAAACAAAAAAAACCCAACCCCAGTCACTGCCATTGTTGGGTTTTTGACTATAGGACAGATTAGAACTACACTGGTGGGTTTCTGAGCCTATAGATCTTTATGGGAGCAAGCGGTACAAGGCTACCAATTATTGAACATGGCTTTTCTAGCCATAGTTTCTGTAATTCACTCTAAACAACTTTCTCCTGATGGTTAAGAGAAAGTAGAAGAAGATACTGATGGGATTCAGTTTGAAATTCTTGTTAACAGGATTCACTGTAATTTCCATGTTGCTGCATATAAAATAAGACTGCTGAGAAGCAGAGGGCGGGTGGGGGTGGTGGGGGTGGTGATGGGGGTGTGTGCGGAGGGTGTTTCACTACCAGCAAGAGCCAGGAGTAGAGTGTGTCCTCTGGACCCTGAGATCCCTGTGCAATGAACCTCCTTGATCCAGAAACAGCGGTGACATCAGCAGCCACAGCAGAACCAGGAGTGAGAGCAGTAGACAGAGTGGTGGACTTCCCAGCCACAGAGCAAGGAAAGATGAGGGCTTTGGCACAGGAGACTGGCTTGTGGCGTGAGATACCTTTAGGGGAGCTGGGCTTACTGACCCACAGAGCTGAAGCTAAGTGCCTTCGAGTTGGGCACTTAGTTTACTGGAGTAGGGTGCCTCTGGGCACTTAATTTGGGGAGCTGAGTTCACTGACTCACAGAGCTGGAGAGGAACACCTTTGGGTTGAGCCTTACAGAGGAGTGGAATGCCCTTTGGGCATTTATTCATATCCCTGAAAGAACTTTGGGATCTGTACTGAATGAACTACTCTGTCCTGAGTATGTCCACTGACATTGTAAGTTGATGATTTCCACAATACATCCTAGCATCATGAACTTTGTGTCTGAGTCCTTTGTGGCTTTCACGATGAATTATAGAACCTAGAGGAAACGTTGAGAGCGAGTATGAGAAAGAGCACAGCCTCATCTTTCTACCGGAACAGTTGGTGGATTTGAACTGTTGATCTTGCGATTAGCAGTCCAATTCATAACCCATTACACCACCAGGGCTCCTTAGGACATCAAAGGGAGAGAATAAAGATGTTTCCTAGAGAAAGTCATCATGCACTAAGAGAGTCTCAATTTGGGAATTTTTATCACATGGTGATCACACTGCCTAATAAGGAAACTGAAAGCATCAATATGGAATGCACTAACTAACTTCCACCACTGGAAATACAGTGCAACACAGCCAAGAGTCCACACCCTCCATCAGGGCCTTGTTCGCTTGTGCAAGAAAAGTGACCTTGCAGCTAGACACAAGAAGCTCTCTGTTGACTTCCAAGAAGCTTAATGCCTGCTATTGATCTAAGAAATAAAGTAGTTATTTTATAACATGCTGTTTAAAATCCCAAATTATACTTCATATATACAATGCGATAGTAAACAGAGTTAAAGAATAACAATGACTCTGTAAAACACCTCATAGCATGGATGGGCCTGGAGGACATTAAATGGAGTGAACTAAGTTAATCACAGGACAAATATTGTATGAGACCACTGTTGTAAAATAAATCAAGAAGATATT